GTTCCCTTTACTCGCTCCAATGCATATATGCAGTACTTCAACTTGTCGAGGGTCCCCGGAGCAGCATACTTAAGAGCCTGGATTTCGAGCAAGAAGATGGATGCTGCAGTATATACACTGTAGGAGAGAGACAAGACGACGTGACTGTCACCAAAAGTACGACGGTACAGATCGAACAGGGTCAGAATCGTAGTTGCGGAGGTCATGCATTGAATCAGATGACTTTTGTCGTTAGATTCGCGGTTCGATTTGGAGCAAAGGACGGGACGATGGAGAAGGATGTTGATGGTATGGTAAAGGCAGCTACAACAGCGTTAGAATGGTCGGAGATGGCGACAAAGTCAGGCAGGAAAAAGTACGTACTTCAGGGTCACAATATGACTTGGCGGGGAGTATGGAGGAAGGTCCATGGGCAGTAGCTTCAAGTAATCGGGAAGCTCCTCCCACCAGTCAGCCAGATTAGCGGCTTGTTCCTGGATGCAGTTATAATATTCTACTTCCGAAACCTGTCGGAGAGGATCATAGATATGGATTAATATTTGGTTAAGAATTTCTGCCAGGCCGCACATCTTCATGAAGCACGATGTGGAGTGAGCCTGGGTGGGTGGATAGTGAGTGCCATCAGGAAATTCGACGCCATGAGGCGTCCAAAGCTCGACCTCGGCCGTGTCATCCAGAATCATCCGGGGAGGGCTGACCCGGGAGTGTTGCATGGTTGGGGCACGGCCGAAGTACAAGGAAATCAATTTATCCCAGAAATAACAGCTCCAGAAGAGACGGTTTCTGAGCTCGATATCCTCATCGGTCAGGTGGGCGCTATCAGAGTACTTGCGACTGTCGATGTTAATGCCAAGGTCGTCCAGGATCCTGAAAGCCATTCCACTGTATAACCACGCCTGACTTCGGTTGCCTCGCCCGAACTCCTGCGCGCTCAGGAGAAGTAAGGTCTGAATTGTTGGAATGCCGACATAGCCGGCTTTGAGCGAGTCATAGAGACCTGATACAGCGCGGTGAAAGAATTGCGCCCCGCCTTCAAAAGAGTCCAAGATGGGCCCGATTTTAGGCTCCAATTTGCACCATCGTACTGAGTGGGAAAGGAGGGCGTTCAACAGGGCGTCGGTGTAATAGGGACCGTTGACTTTCATATCACCTACAAGGTGTCAGAACATGGCCAGCATCGGCTAACGGAAGGGCAACTAACGAGTGAATGTAGGTCGATAAACGAAGCCAAAGAGCGGTTGTATCCAACACCAGTGCGAATCGAGGAGATACTGAAATGGTTCCTGTCACAGCGAAAAGATCAACATTGACCCTTATCCTCTATATCTGATGGTTTGGCTGGAATGGACTTACGGGCATGGTGGCCATCTGCTCAAAGGCCCGTTCCCGCCATGCATTGTTGATAAGCCGCTCTTTCCGTCCCTCCAGTTGCATAGCCAACCGGGACGTCGAGGAAGTTTCGTTCAAGACGCCACTTGGTAGCTGGAATAAGCTGGTCGGGCCGTGGAACGATATTCGACCATCATGTTCGACCTTGAGACCCTCAAAGTCTCTGGCGAGCTCTTCTTCGTTTTCGTCTTCTTCTTTGATGCGGGTTCGGATACCCGGGCTGGCGCTAGACTCGCCGGGCGATGCAGGGGAGGCGCCCTTCCGCGACACGGGTTCCGGGGGTTGTTGGCTTCGTAACTTGGAAAGAGCATCTTCCAGCTGGGCGACGCGAGCTTCCAGCTGCTTCGTATAAGATAAGGTTGGAGCTCTAGCGAATAAAGAGTCAATAGTGATCGACAATTTTGCCGATAGGGCAATACAAAGCGGGTCGGGCTGGTGGGGGTGGGAAACAAAAGTCCCAAGAAGCGAGGGTGAACAAAAGGAAAAATAAGCCACACTCACAGACTATAGACGCACACCTCGCCGCGTGTCGCACATCGCGAACATGACGGACTGGCTCCGTTGCATTTCACCTAGCCGGTCCAGTCAGCACTGCCAGCGAAGCAAAGATGATGATTCGACATATTAATCTCGGAAGTCATCCGAGTCAGGAACGTAAGGGGGACAAAGGAACCCACCTTTCGCTTGCGACAAGCCTCGCAGGAAAAGGCGCTTTTCCGGGGAAGGTTGGACTTTGTAGGCACGTCGGCCATGCCCGACTGCTTGGATTCTACGACCATGGAATTGGACAATCCAGGATGGCCGTGGGGGACGGGACAGACGTCGCAGCAGCCTCCATGGAAGAGAAGGGGAAAAAATCACGATCACGCGAAGGGAAAAGGAAGAGGGGAAGAGAGAGGGGGCGAGAGGAGAAAGGGAAAGGGACGAGAGGGAGGGCGAGTGGGGGTCAAAGGGAACCAGAAAAGTGAGACGACGATGGCCACCACAAGCTTAGGGGCGCACCTTAATTCCAGCCAGAAGACTTGAACCTTTCCCTGGGTCGTGGGGGGGGCAGAAGAGCGGCGCGATGATGATCAGATCAGAGGTGGGCCGTTGAGAAAAGCTTAGAACTCGTGTAAAGCCTTATCGATGGATTCTTTTGGCGACAAAACATCCAGAGAGTATGTTGATAGGAGATCACTCCAGTCATCTCGACTGTAATCATTCGCGTCCTCACGGGTCATCGTAGCAGTCGACGGGCACTCGGATGGGCCGATCTTGTAGCGGGAGAGGCGGCGCCGGAGCAATTGGGAAAGATTGGAACGCAAACCGGCATGACGATATCTCGGGCGAGTGCGACTGCAGCACAGCCAATCAGGAGGCCGCACACCTGGGGCTCTAACCCTTTGCGGCCATCGAATTCAGGCAGCGGTAGATGGATCAGGCATGCAATTTAAGCTTAATCGAACAGTCACGTGGCACCCATACTCAAGTATAGAGGCCGCGTGAGAGCCGATCCTATCCCGGCCAACACCAACAGACACCTGGCGTGCAAACTGAATGGTTTCTATTATACATGGTTTATATCTACACGTCACTGTTAATAGTATTATACAAATTGCTTCTCCAGCTGCACCAGCAGTTCGTGCACGTCATCTACGGGAAGGGGAATGGCCCGAGGATTCTTCAACGCCTTCTCGCCCAATCGTTGGGTCAGGATGTCTTGCAGCTTCTGCACCCCACGCTCAGGCTTGCTCTGCAGCTGACCTGTCACGTCCACCGTGATGCGAGAGGCAGCAACATCCTTGGGACCCAGGATGAAGATGAGGTTGTATTTCATCTGCTTGGCTCGTTGAATCTTCTTATTCAGCGATTGGCTACTGCTGTCCACATCGATCAAGAATGTGGAGTCAACCGAGGAGATAGGCTGGGGTGCATCGGTCCCCATCTGGCCTGACTGAAGGGCGCGGAATCCAGAGATCTTGGCAGCCGCTTCGTGAGCCTGTTGTACGACGGCCTCATCTTGGTTCACGGTTAGGACGATACCCTGGCGTGGAGAAAGCCAGAACGGCCAGCGACCAGCGTATTCCTCAATGAGCAGCGCCAAAAACCGCTCCAGAGAGCCGAAGTTGGCCCGATGGATCATCACCGGGGTCGCCTTGCCTGGAGTCTCCGGGTTGTAATCCTCCTCACCTTCAGCGACCTGGTACTCCAGCCCAAATCGCTGAGGGAGATTCATGTCGAGCTGAATGGTGGAAAGCTGGTGGTATTTGCCCGCTTTGTCTTGGAGTTGAATGTCAATTTTGGGGCCGTAGAATGCTCCGTCACCTTCGTTCATGGCCCATTCCCTGCCCGTATTGTCGAGTGCCTCGCGCAATTGGGCTTCGGCACTATCCCACAACTCCAAGCTACCGATAAAGTCCTTCTCTGGCCTTGTGGAAAGGACTAAGCGATACGGCCCCAGTCCGAATGTTGTCATGACCAAGTCCACGAATCCAAGCGCCGATGCGATTTCACCCTTAATCTGCTGTGGTCGACTGAAGATGTGCCCATCATCTTGATGGAAACGACGAACACGAGTAAGCCCACTTAACGAGCCTGAAACCTCATTCCGATGAAGCGGGCTGAAATCGGCGTAGCGGATGGGCAGTTCCCGATAAGAATGCGTCTGCGATTTGAATAGCAGGCAGTGGCCGGGGCAGTTCATCGGCTTCAAGCCGTAGGACTCATCCTCTCCCGCTTCTCCGTCCGTATCTCCAGTGGCTCCCCTACCGCGCACCTCGTACATGTCATCTTTGTAGTTCTGCCAATGGCCGGAGACTTCCCAGAGGGACCGTTTGTAGATCGTCGGGGTCAGGACTTCGCGGAAACCGTATTGAAGGTACTGCGTGCGGAGAAAGGTGATGAGTTTGTTGATGATATGGGTGCCATTGGGGAGGAATAGAGGCGATCCGGGACTGTAGACCGAGGTTGTGAAAAGGTCCTGGGATGTTCCCAGGGCGCGATAATCGGCTGGGGTGGAAGACTGAGTCTGAGGCTGGCCGGGCTGCGGGTCAGAGCACGAACAGAGCCGGGACGACGTCGATGAGAGCCATTGCGCCCTCACTGATGGCCAAGGGGTCAGCCGTCCTCCGACCGGAGGTTTTCGAGAAAGCAAAGGCTGCCGTAACAATGGCGACAGTCGACGCATGGTGGACTTTAGCGGACAGAGGCAGCGACCAAATGGTGAAACTGGAGGATTTTCCTCGGTCGCCCGTGACTGCAAACGCGAGTTCCCGATTGGGAATCGCGTTCCCGTGATTGTCCCCCACCGACTTCATCGGGTGGCTGGACGTTTTGAAAGACCGATCTAGATATACTATCGTCAACTAGTCCAGCTATCTGCCTCTTTGACTTTGGGATCGGCGTCCTGGTTCACCGCCGCTCACTCACCGTTATCGCTATACTAGTTCCATCTCTTATTCTGTCTTTCCTATGTAAGTACTCTTGCTTCACGTGAGCCACACCAGTTTCCAGTCCTGTCGCATTCTCTACTCTGTTACGATAGCACGGTCCTAGTAGAAGAAATGATTGGCTGACCTTGCTAGTATCGCTATATATTCGGATGTTTCTCACATGCGCCTGAGCTATCTGCTACAGTATATGGAAATTCATATCATTAACCCTTGCTTCCAACGGCTCGCGTGCGCGTTGTCTGTTCACCAACGCCGTGTAGTGACTCAAAAGAGACTAAAGCTCCCATAAAGCTACCGTTAGCCGGTCTGTATCTTGTGACCACAGATCTTGATGTCTATCAAAAGTCCTCGCCCCCGGGACAGCTCATTCCTGGGCGAGTCCTGGGTTGTAGCTTCTCCTCATGAGGAGAATGAGCAACAAGATGAACGTCAGCCATCTGAGCCTTCAAGCCCGACGCCTCAGCCAGCTAGGAGGAACCGCAACTATGGATCTGAGTCCATGTCTACCTCCACTTCATCAGCCTCGGGACCAGAGCTGATCATGCCGTCAATATACGAAGCGCCTCTATCAGAAGGATCTTGGGTTGCGCCCACTGCTCGATCCAAGCGCTCTCTCAGACGAAGGCCTCCAAAATCGCCTAAGGAGTCGGCGCAAGCAGAAAAACAGCAGTCTCCTCCACCCAAACAAGATGTCACGGCGGCAACGCCAACACAAACATCTCGCCAACCAAAAGCAACCCAGCCTCGCGCATGGAAATTCTTGGAGTCATTCCTACGCTTAATACTCAATTGTGCTCTTATCGCCGCCATTGCTCACATGCTCGTCCTTCCCGAGATAGTCCAGCAATACCAGACGCTTTGTTCCTCGGACAAAATAGCAACTCTATACCCAGCTAGTTGCATCCCACCATATCCCCAGCCACAACTCCCCCGCCACCAAGCCGCCCCCCGGGACCCCGTCACTAACTCACAATCGCGGCTCGAGACCCTGCTCAATTCGACCCTCAACGAAACAGACCCTCTCGCCAACACACTAAAACAAAGCGAATCCAAGCTGCGCGACATCCACACCGACCTCAAGCACGCCTACCCAGGCAGCAAACACGAACTAGACCTCGAATTCACAGGATGTCTTCAAGCCACCCGCATCGCAGCGGGGAAATTCGACTCGCTCCGAGCCGACATCCGCTCAGCGGTAGATAGTCTGATCGCCAGCGGCGACAACATCCAGACCCTGAGTCAGGACGCGCGTCACGCCACCCAAATGGCCCGACGAGAACAATACCTCGACCAGCTCACCACGCGCATGCAGTCCAAAGTCGAATCCCTCTCCAACGACCTCGCCACGCTTGACGACCACCTCGAATCAATCGGGAGCATTGTAGCCCGCGAATCGAAACAATCCAAGCCAAGCTCTTCTACTCCTGCGCCCGGGCCTAATAATCCAGGGCCCGAGCCAGGACCAAAATCAGACCAGCCACCTCGTCTGCGCGCCTTCGTTGACTCTCTCTTGGGCGTCAACTTACCTGCCATCCTCCATCCAATCACCATGGAGTCGGAAAGCGCCATCTCCAGCCCCGATCCCTCACTAGCTGACATGATCCGAGAAGCGTCCACCAATCATCGCCCGGTCATCAAGGTCGTCCGAAACCTGTCGAATCAGCTCCAGATACTGCAACAAAGAAAAAATTCTGCTATCTGAGCGCAAACTATTGAAAAGCTAAATAATGTGAATATGAGACATGCATATGAAGGATATATTACTTTTGATTATGATTCGGATTGGCCAAGACAGAGAAGTTGGGGTAAACATGCAAGTCGGCGTTTAGTTTAATTCTTGGATGCGGTGCGCGGCGCTATTTTCCTTTGTTTTTCTTTTTCTTTTTTGATCACCTGTCTTTGTTACAGTCACACGTGGGTCTCACGTTACACAGGGCTTACACCTACCTGTCAGGAACAGTTATCTAGTCTAGGTACTGTTTACCCCAAGGGGCCAAGAAACCACAGCGTAGCACGGCGCGTACGTAGTATCATATTAGTTACATGGAATTGGGGTTACATTGGATTTAAATTGATATCATTAAGTTTCTGAGCTAAAATTAAGTCTTTGATTTTGTCCAGCAAAGGAGCGTCCATCCGGGAACAGACAAAAACAAAAGTAAAAAAAAAAAAAGACCCATTTCGTAAAATATCGGCAGGTAGAAAAAGAAAAAGAAAAAAAAAGCGAGCAAGATGATTCATTCCGAGATAACAACCGACAGCATTGAAAAAATAGTAGCAAGAGAGCAAATTAACTTTCCGTCTGATAGCCAGTGTGGGTAGGTGGGAAGATAAAACCAAATAGACAACTCCTCCTTCTTTCAGATAATATGTACTTCCAACGGTTCCAAATAAGCTATGCAGTGAAAGCAGGGGAAAGGGTGGGTGGGTGGGTGTAAGTTTCTAAACGACCCATGAAGAGAAGTGAAAAAGGTTGTTGCATCAGGGATTGGGCGTCGATGATGAAGGGAGGACAATTTACAAGAGGGCAGCGAGGAAACCAGCGAAGAGGAGGCTGGTGGAGGCGCCGACCTGGGTGGCAGCACCGGTGTAGACGGGGGAGGCACTGGCGCTGGCGCTGGAGGAAGCAGAGGCGGAGCCAGAGGCAGAGGCGGAGGAACCGCTGCTGGAGCCAGAGCCAATCAGGGCAGAGGAGGAGCCGGCGGCGGCGGCGCTGGAGGCGCTGGTGCTGGACTCGGAGCTGGTGCTGGAGCCAGAGCCGGTGCCAGAGTTGGAGCTGGTGCTGGAGGTGGAGGTAGAGCTAGAGCTAGAGCTGGTGCTGGAGGTGGAGGTGGAGGTGGAGCTAGAGCTGGTGGTAGAGCCGGTGGTAGAGCTGGAGGTGCCGTTGTTGACGACAATGCTGGTGTAGTCGCCAGAGGTGTCGGAGTAGGTGTAGGAGGAGCCGGGGTTGTAGTTGGTGATGGAGACCGACTGGACAGTCATGGTGAAGGGACCGTCGGAGTAGTCAGTCTCACCACCGGCCCACTCGATGGTTCCCTCGGGCTCGGAGGAGTCACCAGCAGCCCAGATACCAAGCTTCAGGCGCATGGGAGTCTGGGGGTAGCGAGTACCGCTCTGAGCGTCGCTGTAGGCAAGGGTGCGCACGACAGTGCCGTCGATGCTCCAGGTAGTGGCAGATTCAGTCCACTCAACGGTGTAAGTGTGGAAGGTCTCCTGGGGGGTCGACACAGTTGCCCAAGTAGCACGGTCGTAGGAGGAGGTGTCACCCTTGCCGAAGTAGTTGGTCTCAATCTGAGTGGTGTCACCACCAAGAGCTTCCTGAATAACCCAATTTGGTTAGCCTACTACCCCATGCATATTGGGTGATAAGGGTGCAGCTGAGCGTGCATGATAGGGTTGGCAGGGGCAACAGGGGCAGGTAAAATAAGAATTATGAGACTGAGAGGGAATTGAGAGCTTACCCAGTCGATCTCGTCGAGATCGTCCGACTCGAGGACGATACTGCTGCAGATACCGGTACCGCTGGCAGCCTTCATGACAACCTCGGCCTTGCCGAAGAAGAAGTAGAAGTCGGTCTCAATGGTAGGAGCTTCACCCTTCTCGCTGATGATGAAGTTGGCACCCTCATCGGTAAAGGTGACATTGTTGGCGGTAGCAATCCATCCACCGAATGAGCCAGAGGTGAAGTCAGTGGTGAAGGTGGTGGAGCTCAGGGCCGTATCAGCAGGGCAGGTCTCTGTATGCTCGGTTAGCTCTGAACAGATATTGGTGTAAACAAGGGGAACATACTGTTGAGAGGGTCACAGTCCGTATAGGTCTGCGCGGTGGCCAAGGGCAGCAGCGCAGCCAGCGCGGCGGCAGTCTTGGAGAAGTACATGATGTTGTAGCTGTGGGGGTGGTAAATGCCAGAAGCGACAGACTAGAAGGTTCTTCTATGCTAACAACGAGGGTTAGAGCAAGAGACCAAACGAAGGAACAAACTCCTGCTTGTGTGTGTCCGGGGTATGAAATCGAAGAGGCGGGTACAGTCGGGGGATGCTCAATGTATTAAATAGTAGTGAAGTAACTAGTAGGTGAGTCTAGCAGAGAAAGCGAACGACAGACCCAGGAACCCGGGCAACCAAAAAGGGAAGAGGAGGGGAATATTAGACTTCCGTTACTATGGACCGGGAAGTGGGCAGAGTACTGGTACTAATGAAGGGCACAGTGAATGATGCTAGCCAAGTGGGTGCCGCCATGGAGACAAATTGTATGATATTAATACTTTCCCCTGAGGGAGACTTCATCCGCTACGGAGTAGTCACGTCGAGCCAACAAGACCCAAGGATGATAACTGGGGGCAAAAAGGTTGTATCCCCTGGTTTGGCCTTGCGAGATTTCTGGGCAGGCACTGGACAAGGTCTGCGTCACGGCTGAGGTGGTCAGACACGGTGACTGAAGGAGGAGCAAAGGACGACATCGATCCAGTGGAGTCTCGACTGGAGACGGCCCCAGTGAGAAAGCCAGTGTTGGCGGCTGTGATAGGCGCATGCGCATCCGCAGAGGCTGGCATTATCCACTTTTCGACTCGGTCGGGAGGATCGTTCGTTGCGCTGACCGGCCGGGGAAAGCAACGAGGGCGTGTGCACTGTGTGTACTGCGTAGTACTATACGAAGACGGAGCGAGAGAGGAACAAAAGCTTGTGCCTGCCGCGTGTCTTACACACGCTCTGATTTGCTGTTTTCTTGTTTTTCTCCCTCGGTCCCCTGCGCCGCTTTCATCCTCCCTTTCCAGATGATTTTTCTTTCCTCATCCCCCTTGTTCTCACCTGTATTTTCCTCCTTGAAACCGAGGGTCATCAACGGTTTAGCCAAGGGTTGGAAGGAGTCCAAGATGTCATTCGCTTAGGGTCGGACGAAGGAGTGGATAATTACTACAAAGTGGTAACGATAGGGTCACCGTGGAGCAAGTCGGTGTCGGTCCTTTTTAGGCAACGATAGAATAACTCCGAGAGCCAAGGGGGCCAAGTATTTAACCACGATTTTGCCACGGTCGCATAATTGTGCACATATAATTTCCGCGCACCTGTGATCCAACAGTTGGGTATCCCGCTTGCTGATCCTGTCAGAGAAGTGTCGCAGCATTGACGCTGCGATGCAATTGAGGCCAATCGATGCGAGCCATGGATCAGGTACATTGGACCTGTGGTTCAACCATTAGAACAGACTGAAAATGTAAACACAGTTGTCCAATCTAATGGTCATAATACCACTAACATCCATTGGCCGTAAACAGTGCGAAAATAAAATTTAGAAAAATAGAAATAAGGACCCTAATTAAATCAGGGTGCAATAAGCACAACTTTCGCCCTCGGAGGGTCCGTTCCAAAACTTTCTACCGGCGTTGGACAACACTCCGGAGAAAATATTATAAGTCTGGTAAATGAATAAATAGAAACATCGTCTATAGCGGCCAGCTCGGTTGGCCAAATGTTTTGGAGGTCAGGAAGAGAAGAATGTCTCAGCCGGATAATATTATAACAAAGAGCTTGAAAGCGACTCGAGAAGGGCCATATTTCTGGCCCTGAGAAGGAATTAAGAGAGTCAGGAACTTACTTACCCACTCCCTCAGCCCATCAGCGATAAGCAAACGCATTCGGATAGAGGGTCCGAACTACCGAGCGCTTCTGGCTCAATTTCCTGGAGATTAGACCAGGGAATGGGCTAATAACGTGCAGGAGTCAGAAGTACAGTTGGACAGGGTAATCCAAATGAGAGGGTGTCTGTCAGGCGCATCAGCCTCAATCTGAGACAGACAGGGGAGGTCGTTTAATTCATTTAATTAACCCGTCCCCTGAAGGAGGGAGGACGACAGGAGCCGTCATGAACCCAACCCCTCATCCTTCACGGATGAAGCTAAAGGATGCAGTGGATGCAGTTGGTTTGTCCAACCTTTCCGAGTTCCGCAAACCCTTCGGTCACCTGCCGTAATCTATCCAATCTATCTGTGGGGGCTGAACTTCTGCACTTACCATACCATACGGGCTTATCTCACCACATGTAATCATTAAATCACGTGCCTCTTTGTCTCCCGCCTTGATGCCTGGAGATGCCTAGTTTCTGCCTGCCGCGAAAGGTTGGGGAAGGCGTGCCTCAGGATGCGCATCTTGTTGGGCGAATCCCAATCCAGCGCCACGTTGATCACCCGACCCTTGTTTCCCCTCTCTTCTTTGCACAAACCCCTTATCTTCTTCCCCTCCCACCTTCTTGTCAAGGACAACTAACCCCCCCCCGGTCCTGCAAGGCTCAAGCCTCTTGTCTTTCCTCCATCAGAACATGGTTCAGAAACCTAGCAAATCTATCCATCGCGCTAATCGGACTCGTTCTATCGCCGGTGCTGCATCCTCCTCTTCCCCGCTAGATCCAGACATGGACCGGAAAGTCTACATTCCGCTCTGCTTCTGTCTGATCTCTTTTGCGGTGATGGTCTATGTCAACTGATCGGAGACTGTGGGATCTCATCTACCTCGGTCTTGAACGAACGTACTGTCATCTCAGATCACGGCATAATACCTATCTACTCAGGTCGTAAAGCCATCGAGCCCTCGCTCTTTTGACTCCCTACGATATCAACGATAATCCACACCGCATGCCCCACCTGAACAACGCCTCGGCATCCCAACGCCCCATCCAGACCGATAATTCTCACTCTCTTGAAAGCCAGTCTGGGTACTGCTTTCGCAAAGCTCAGAACCACCATTCATCATCATTGTCATCAGCCACGCAAAATGAGTAGAAAGATCGCACCGTATGGGACCGCAACGGGAAAGGGCCGGTCGATCGACGACGCAAGCGGGAGGGCACTACGTATCCCACTTACGGGACCTCGGCCGCGCCACAGCGATCAATAACAGGTGCCAGCCAAACCATCTCGCAAACCCGCGCCATATGCAGCTGCACCTGTCTCGCAATTTTCCGAACAAAGCACGAGAAAATCGACATCAGCGCAACATGCCGGAGTTAAGACATTGTATTCGACACTAAAGAGAAAACCACCTGCTTAGTGACGTACGTACCCACGTACGCTGGACCGCCACTATTGCTTGTTTGTGTTTTGCTTCTCTCGGTGCTAGGCCAGTTGCCCCGCATGAAGGGTGACAACAAACAGGCCAGCAACCAGCCTCTCATTTTCTCTCTTATGTGGAATTGCTATCATCTTGCATTTCGTTATCAACTATACCCAATAAGGTGAAGAAATTCAACCTACTGCGCCATAACAATATTATTACTATTACCCTCAAAGCCTAAAAATAACCTTATAACACCACTACTATGCATTAGTTCTGTCTAAACTAGCTCACATGACCAATATCGTATTTCGAACCTTCGTATTCTATCTCCATATGCATCACTACCCCAATAGTAGAGCCTACTTTCCCTGTCGCCCAACCCCGCCCGAAACAAAATTCAATAACCCACCAAACTAGCCATGCATTAGAAAATTCCAGTCTAGACTAGTAGAAGCAACATCCGCAGGATCAATACCGCCATCAGAAACCGGACCGATAGCACGCGGTGCCCTAATTCCCCACAGCATGGATAAGACAACCGCCCAAAAATAGCCGGCATAACAGCAAGCCCGAAAAACCACGACAGTGATGAAAGGAAGGAAAGAGGCAAAATGGACCACCCGGAAGCTTAAAATCCAAGACACTTTTTCGGGGCAGTGCTTCTTTGTCTTAGCTAGTAGTCTACTCGGAGATTGAAGGTTTATACATAGATTCATTAGTGTCGGAGGAGGTTTAAGTTTAGTAGATACTAGATAGATATCGTTGTCGCAAATGAAACGTAAGACAAACCACTATTTCAACTGAATACATAGATAGTAGTATCAGAGCGAGCACACCTCTGCACACCTCTTACTATCCCTCCCTCCGTTACAAAGAAATTATACTACGTACTGCACAGTAGGTAGCAACCAGCTATGCATGTGGATAAGCCTAATCTAAATTACAGTAATGTATGATCTAGCGAAGCGGTTGGTGTCTTGAAATGGTTCCATTCTGAGAATCTTCTCCCGGAGTTCTAGTGCAACGGGTCTAGTTCATTGGTTCCCCATCAATCTAATTTGACAAGAACGAAACTACTACCTGTTATCGATTGCTATGTCTGCTGCTTTGTAGGATAGCAAAAAAAGGAAATCAGATCAGGTCGTGCCCGGGATCGAACCGGGATTGCTGGAATCAGAATCCAGAGTGATAACCATTACACTACACAACCGTAGTTGTTGAAACGGCGATTATTTTGACAATATGATGCTAATCACAAGAAATATAAAATCTTTGTTGCTTGTATGCATTGGTAAGAAGAGTGCCATGGCATGATGGTGGGTGTTGTGATGGGCTGTTGTTCCGCGTTATTATAAGGATCGATGAGTCTGATTTCCCTGTGTTCCCTACGGTCAGTAATAGTTAGCAGGTGGTCATTTTATTGTCACGCTGTTAGGTAGCATATTTAATTAGCATAATATTTACATTCGGTTTACTTACTCTTCATGATGGCTTGTGCCCAGTCTGACATTCCCCAATGCAAGGTACTTATATGTATGCCGTCAATCCCTCCACTTTCATTTCCAGTACTCGTCCAACCGTGTTCTCCGGGCCCTGGCATATCCCTGGCCGGTAAGGGGCACAAAATCTATGGCCCTTCATGTGTCTGTCATCAATCCCTTCCTATTTTTCGGATCTTCGGCACTCCCAGGTACATACTGTCAACCGTCAGATATACTTTTGGTCCAGCCATATCAACAAGCACCGGACACGCCATTGGCATCGCATATATCCGGTAGATAGTAGTGCAGGAGATAGCTTATCCTCCTTCGTCATTGAGGCACTCTGCAAATTTTACATTACTCATCACTGATCCAATTGTTATCGACTTAGCGAGTATCATGTACCCGCGCTCTGTCAACACACCCACCAAAAGGACATACACTACGGTCCCTTACAACCTTGCTTTCCTTCCTCTACTATGATCCAAGACAGAGAAGCAAAAAGGTCGTACCCGGGATCGAACCGGGATTGTCGGAATCAAAATCCGAAGGGATAACCATTACCCCATACGACCTGGGAGTTTCGGAATTGCGCAATTCTAGAAAATTTGAAATTATGAAATTGATTGTGTAGGATTGGGAGTATATTACGGGTGGTTGTTATGTTTGGGCCTGTCCTGTGTGGGTGTATAGGTGGGACCTTGTGTAGCAGGGATGTTGAGTATCCTGGCTTGCGTTTTTGGGTGGTAGTGGAGGATGTTGATGTGTGGTTGTAGCATCATTTGTTGTGTAGTATGATAGTGGTCACCTACGGGAAATATATAAGTAGCGTACTGAATGACATCACCCGAGGAGCCAACAAAATCAATGGCCTGCCAGGACTTGTGTAGAGCTCGACGAGATCACCCAGCACTCCCGTATTGTCTAGGCGTCTGCAGTGGTCACTGCCCATCACGATAGTCCCGAAACAAAAGGACATCAACTGCAAGTAAATCAGCCCACCGGCAAGGCATCATTGCCGTCAATCACACCCCCATAAAGTGACCCAAACGAAATACCAACCCTTTGTCCACCTATTCCACTTAAGTAATACCGAGTGCATCCGGCCCTGTATCAGAACATATGAATATACTTTCCACCAAATCGGCCCAAAGTACATATCAGTAAGAGTAGCCGAGCAATGGAACCAAAGTATGCATGGTAGGCCCATATAGGGCAAACCTACTGCTTTGTGTGGGCCTAGTTTCGACAAGTCTAGATCAGAGGCCTCGACCAAGTCCCATAATCTGGTCAGCTGTGGAACTGCCTCATATGTGGGGTACGGCCCTGGCCAGACACATGGCCATCCATAGCTCGTGGAAGGGCTGTTGACGTATCTTCGGTAGGTGAGCCGTGGGACTAGCGGGTATGAGAAAAGCCGTTGGCTGAGGGTTCTGGACTTCCAAGGACTGGGGTTCCAGGGCACTGTTGTACCAAAGTTAGAGGTGTTTTGTGGTTGGTTGTTGGTTTGTATTAATGGTTGAATTTGCAGTCTGCTGGAATTTGGGTTGGGTGTGCGAGGGTTAGTAGAATAATTAATGGGCATGCCATGGGGGGCAGTTAATGACGGTGCACTGGTGATAGAGACTCTCATGCATTGCAATCATAAACGCCTGCTAATATGGAGAGCCTACAGGCAGAGGGCACAGGGGGAAGGAAAAAAAGAAATACAAAAAGGTCGTGCCCGGGATCGAACCGGGATTGCTGGAATCAGAATCCAGAGTGATAACCATTACACTACACAACCGTATTTGTTGAAATGGTGTTTTGGATTTTGTTAAATAATCCTACATAACTGGGCACAGGAGGTTTATGATCTAAGGGTATCATGGAGGATATACATATCATGAGCGTCCAGACTAATATCTAGGAGGACTCCGTCCAAGAGTCACGGTGAGTTTCCTCCAGACTGCTACTAGCCGGGCAATCCTTCGGTAAAACGCAGTCACCGGTCTGCAAAAGTATAAGCTGAGCTATTCCTATGCCAATAACACTTTTCGATTATACACACTTTGATGAGAACATATCCCCAGTTACATCGACACCCTGGCTTGCAAATACCCGTGGCAATTAAGCCCGAGCATAGTCCTAAATCATCACATGTTGGGGTGCAATGTTGTATGCATTCGTACGTTGTGTTACTGCCAGGCTGAGCCAGCGAAGTGTGTCAGCATACACTATAGCGACCCTCGTGCTGATTTCATATACGGCAAGGAGGCAAGCTCATACACAAGACGGCAAAATATAAGCGTGAGCTCCTACAAGACCAAGAGCAAGTAGATAAGAGATGGTCTTCATTTTGCCAGCAGCGAGTCTTTTTGGCAGTGTTCGAAGAGAAAGAAGCGAGATTGCTTAGACTGTTGTAGAACATCATAGATAATTTTGAAGGTATTTATATGTTTATAAGTGCGAGCTGAAAGAAGGGCTGCATCAGATTATATCATATTGCTTCTTCTTCTTTCTCCTTCAAGGCGCTGATCTCATATCGCTGACCATCTCCTTGGATATTTCTGATTGCAGCACCAGAGGAACCATCGAATGAATCACTAGATTTAGTGATGCAGTAATAGATAGGCAGGAAACTTCATAGGTGATTATTGCTTTTCTCAATGTCTGATAGTCATATGATGCTATATTCAGAGACTCCATTGGATGGGAAGTAACTCGGGTTACACGATCTTCCTAGTACAGACATTGACTATCAGTGACTATTGCTAAATATCAATAACCTGTACTACAACCGACCGCGACTCACTGTAATAATATCTCTTTGCGTTTGTGAAAACACAATGTCTGCAGACGATAATTGTAATCAACAGTACTATCCAATGACACCCCAAATCATCACTCATATCTAATTACCCGCTGAATATATCCCTAACCCAGGACTAGCTGAAAGCAGATCTAAGGCCGATAGCATATATGCCTCAGATTATCTCATAGACACAGAAAAGCTCTATATTATTATCTATATTTCTATCCAAAAACACCCACCCACACAACATAACCAACACCACACCCTAAACCCCCAAAATCTCCCTCACCGCACCCCTAACCTCCCCCTCATCCATAATCCTCAAACCCAGCCTCTCATTCCAATTCCAGCGCATAAACTCCCCACCCAAATACCCCTCCCCATACATCATCTGATAACAATAATTAATAATAGCCGACATATCCCCCCTCTTCAACCTCTCTTCCGACTCCTCAATTAGTTTCCTCACCTCAACATCCTCCGGCATTCCAAACTCCACCCCCAGAACCTCAGAAACAATCTTCGTCAACCCCCTCTCCGTAACCACAGCTGAGCAAATATAAACCGGCTGATTAGCCGCAGCTTCGAAATTAGTAGTAGACTCTAGGAGCTTAACAATAGCAGTGGCGATATCACTTAACAGTGAAACGGCAATCTTTTTATCACCACCGTCATGAAAGACAGCTTTCTTGATTATAGGGTTAGGGCCCAAGACGCCGTACTTGAGGGCCATGTCGAAGAAAGCGCCGGTGTTAAGGGAGGTCCAGGTTGTAGGGGCGGAAGTGTCTGGAATGACAGAGTTCAGGTGCTGGCGAATCAGAACCTTTTCTTTGGCGATGGGGAGGTTAATGGTTAGAGGGGATTCCATCATCGTGGTGTATTCGGATGGGATGAAGCGTTTGACGGAGGCGGCGATGCAGGCGTCGATGATGGTCTTTTCGGAGGTGAGTTGGGGGGAGGGAACGGCGCTGTGAAGGGGTTAGTTAGTGTTTGGGGAAGGAAGGTAGATAGATATAGTGTTGGGTAGTCATGGACGCACCTGATGACGACGTCCTGGCCGGTAAAGGTAGATATCAGTTCATCTTTGTTCTGATAGTCGACTTTGACGACCTTGACGCCTGCGGGGACTGGCTTGTCCGAGTCCTTGCGCTGGACGGCGGTGACTTCGTGGCCGGCTGCTGAGAGGGCGCTGGCAATGTGGGATCCGAGGGTGCCGGTGGCCTGTAGGGTTATACTTTGTTAGATATTATGTTGGTATGGGTTGATATGCTTGTAGCAGTAGTAAGCATATGGCGTACCCCGATGATCGAAACCTTCCTGATAATAGTCATTTTGACCGAAGGGAGATATGCGGATGCTCAGAGGAGATTAGAATAAGAATGTCCGAGAAATGCTGCAAGATACTACACAGATTAACCACGCTAACTGATTTTACTCCTCATACTATATACTTCATATGATCGTCCTCAACGGCGATGGTTGCAAATCGGCGTTCCGATGTACCGACATGCCGACCTCAGGGTTGATCTCAATTCCGATTTGGGCTCAGTTACTGCACTGCATCTGCATACCCACAGGAATTTGATAAGCAATCCCAGCGGGATTAACTAATAGAGTCGGACCCTCGGAGTGTCGTTTGTCAGCCAGCAGAATAGCATTTTCCCTGAGCCTCCGAGAAGAATATCTATAGCATTGATGGCCGTTCGTCCATTAGAGAGGACGTGATGCGATATGAACACCTACTCGAGTCTACAAGACAGCGGAGCGGCCATGAGATTATCAACATGTTGAGCATTACACCTTCTGGTCTGTTCTGCCATTCCTACGGTTTTTGATGATGTCGCCCATGCCTTGTCTTGAGGCATGTTACGTTGGGAAAGCAAAAGACGATCGGAGTCATTTTCACTTTCTCAAACCAAACTCATGCGCATGCAATGTTCCACCATTGTCATCATGACATTTCTAGCTAGCTAGCGTATTATGTCTCTACATTCGTTATACATCAATAGTAAGGAGCATGAACGACGTAAGCAGCTGCATTTCATCGCTACCCTCCGAAAACAGGACTCAAACCCGGGAGATATCCAAGCTGTCAGGCACACCGTAACATGTGAGCCTCATGCGACAGCTTGGCTAGACGGCGCCAGCGCCAGCGAGTGCCATCTCCTCACGCAGACGCATGCATGTTGAAAACAGGATGATAGCACAGAATGAAGGCCGAATCTTGTGAGAGGCCAAGGGACCATGGAACATTTAACATTGAGCGGAAATAGCTGAGGGGTCATCAAGGAGAGGGCTCCCAGGAACGGCATCCAGGGCGACAGCGTGTAATGCAGGCTTGCTTGCGTCTTGGATCAAGCCACGCTGGCGACGGTCTAGCTGTTCCTTGACCCAGGCCGCCACTTCCTCATCTTCCGTTACATTGGACCCACCCTCCTTCGTGGAGCCGTTTGGTGCATCGTCGGCATCGGTGTTCGTGGGGGGCTGCATAAGCGACGACAGCCAGGGATGGCGAAGGAGCATGCTGTACGATGGGCGGTTGTTCGGGTTCTTGTCCAAGCATGCGCGGACAAAGGAGTGTGCTTCTTCAGAGTAGCCCGTTTCAGGAAGTGTTGGTGCGTCACCATGAACGATGGCCTTTACAGATTGTCAGTATCCTGAATGATGAGGTAAGATACAAGGGAAGCAATGACTTACGTGCAACTGGCTGAAGATGTTATTGAAGGTTTCGGGCGGGTATGGATACCGACCAATGGCACACTCGATGATGGACAAGCCCAAGCTCCAGACATCGCTCTGGACGCTGTAGGTTCCGCCTCCACTTGCTCCAGACTGCTGCACACCCCCACCTGCAATGCGCTCAGGGGCCATGTAGCTCTGGCAGCCAATGTTTGTTTTGGCAATACTGGCAACCAGGTTGCCGCTCACACCGAAATCGCAGATCTTGACCTGTCCGCGAGAGTTGACGAGGATGTTCGTGGGCTTGACATCGCGATGTATGATGTTGTGGTCGTCCTTGAGGGTCTTCAAGCCCATGACAGTGGATAGTGCTACCTTGCGAAGGATGTTTTCGGGAATTCCCTCCTTGTATAGTTTGTCGATCGAGCCACCATCCATGTATTCAACGCAAATGTAGACTGCGCCTTCTTGGAAGAAAGCGCCGTAGAAGTCGATGATGAATGGAGAAACACAGCGGTGGAGAATCTCCAACTCCATGATAATCTGAGCGAACTTGCTCTCGTCCAACTCCAGGCGAATCTCCTTCATCGCCATGACAACTCCAGAAAGATTACCTTCGGTCTTCACTCCGGACGCCGTAGTGGAGTCGCCATCCTCAATGCGACTTATTATCCCCCGTAATCCCATTCCAGGTTTGCGCATATGAGGACGGCTATGGCGAACCTTGTACACCGTTCCGTAGTTACCCTTGCCTAGTTCATCCAGACGATCGACCTCGTCCAAGGAGATGCTAAAACTGTGACCTGATGAGAATTCGATACCACCACCATGGAGGATAGCCTTGTTTTTGAAATTCAGCGTCCCCGATTTCGTATCGATGAATTCTGAATATTTGCTAAATGCGGTTTCGGTGGGAGCAGGCCCGCCGTTGGCAGGCTGCCCAGGCGACGGCGAGCCGTTCAGACCCGTAGCGTCGGATAACTTCAACCCCGGCTTCATACGTTTCGCGGCCAGACCACCGGGCTTAGGAGAACTGCCACCGGGGGACCCATGAGGCACAGAAGGCGAAGAGACCCAGTTTTTGGTACCCGGACGAACAGCGGCGGGGGGTATCCGGCCCGCAAAAGCACCTGCCAAGGGGCCATTTGCGCCTGGTGAAGGCTGCATTGATACTGGACTGCCACCCGACGCCGCCGGAGAAGCCCGGGGCACCAAGCCAGTCGTATTGGCATGCGCCAGAGAGGGCGGGGCGCCCTGTCGAGACAATGAGAAAGCCTTCATCTTCGCTAATATATCCTGATTCAATCCCCCGGGCTGCGCGCCGCTCATTGAAGCCTGTGGACGATTCTGAGTAGCCCCAGCACCGCGTCGGGCGGCGTTGAGTTGACCTATGTGTGTCGACGACGGGGTGATTGAGGGTTTATCGAGAGTGGGGCGGAGGGAGGGTACTGAAGCGTACGATTGTGTCGTGGCTAGGGAGGGTGAGAGGTCGTCGTCGGTGGTGTCGGAGCGGTTGTCCATATCTGAGAGGGGTCTGGACGAGATGTCCGCGATGGGCTCCCCTTCTGTTGCCATTTTTGAGGTAGTAATCAAACAGCACAATTGGTATCGGGAGCTGGAGCGCAGTGGTCCGAGAGTGCCGTCAAAACAGTCTCACGGAGGTCGGGGCACTTGGTGCATGAACGGAGGAGGGGATTGAAGAGAGGGAGCGAAAGATCGGAAAGAGCGGAAAAATGAAGCTATCAAGATGTGTGAGGATAGATGGTGATAAAATTGCCAGTAGAGAGGAAGTTCAATGTTGGTGGAGCCAGAACGCTTTTCCAGAGGAGGGAAGTGGAGGAGAGGAAAGCAGGTTTCGTCGACGCGGGGCACGCCTCAAGGCTGTTCTCAAGCAAGCTGATAACAAGGCACAACAGGGACGGGGAGGATGGAGAACAGATGGTGCGATCCCTCGCAAAAATATTGGTCGGGCGGCTTAAACTCCGTGACCAATAAGAAGACAAAGGAAGGCAGGTAGGTAGAAGAGAGGTCAGGACTTAGTACAAAGGTAGAGGGGGAGGAACATGAAACAGACAGAGAGAGAGGGGGGAAGAGGGTCGATGACGGTACTTAGTGGGGGGTGGGAATGACAGGCAATAAAAATAACCGTGCAGAGAGAGAGAGAGAGATGAACGAGCTGTTAAAGGAATCGTTTGGAGGCGAAACCAGTGGGGATGGATGATGGGGGGTGGGAGGAAGGATAGATATGATGCAGGCTCAAAAGAAAGGAGAAGCAAGATTCAGATAGCGGCAGAGAGAGAGAGAGAAAGCGAGCAACGGCCGACAAGCCTCGGGAGGGGAGGGAAAGGTGAGGATAGGAAGGATAAGTTAACAGAGAAGATTATAAGATGGGAAAGAGAGGAAAGAGAGCTTGTGATTAGTCGAGGCAGATGGGGCCCAGCAAATCTGCCAGGCTTGCCTCCCGGTCGCCTCAGGCTGTCCAGTCCCCGACCGCCCAATCACACGTGCCAATACCGGCACCTCAGGCACAAAGTCAATGTCTACGCAACACTTTATTTAATCTCGTCCTTTTTCGTCTCGTCTACGCTACTCAACCCTGCCGTTCAGCTGCGGAGTGTAAATTGGCTCACGCAAGCATCCGTGGTCGTCCTGAATTTTGAACGTGGCAACCAACATCGTTTCTGCCTGAATATCGCCACCCCCCGTCGGCCGATGGATCCCCGATCTATTTACCTTAGGCCGGGGGTGAACCTAACCAAAGTACGGATCCCATTCCACGGGTCGCAGTCCAAAGAGAAATCATGTAAGCTGATCTTTCCATCCCGGACATATTATCAAATAGTAACATTACCACCCTCTTCATATCAGCCCGGGATGCCAGGATCAGATATTTGTGGCTTATGACATATGAAGCAGCTCGTTTACCACCACCCTCCCTGTGTAACAGTGGTCCCCTCTCCCTCTTATCATAGCCACCACCGAGGATTGCGAGAATCTTTGCCTCCTACAAAGTAGTAGCTACCTCATGCATAGGGATTTGATTTGAGCACCCATCAGTCCAAAGCCCGAAAATCGTTTTCGTCGACCAAAGTATGGCCAAAGGTCGGTGATAGAAGCCCGAGATCCATGGGGATAACGGGGTTGGCCGGCAGTAGTAGACATCATCAGTGGGTGTGCAACGCCCTATCGGAGGTGTTCCCAATCTTCAGCTGAGGATCGGATGGGGCTTGTCCTCGGCGGGAGCCACTCGCAATAACTGGCATGATTGTGTCACCGCGATGATTGCAGCAATATCCTGAGTAATAGCCACCAGTTGATCAGTCAACCATTTTTCTTATTCCCCGGCCCTGGGCGTTTTATTTTTTTTTTTGCCTCTTGTCTTATCAGGGTTTCCCCAGTCTTGGCGACATATAAACGTTTCTCATTGTCGGGCTCGCACCCGGCTTCCTTCCCTGTACACAGCCCCGACAACCTTTGTGATGAATCAATGCCCCGAAGCATCCTAAATTCTAGGAGTGGATCCTTGCTTCTATCCCACAGTTCCGATATGTTGTTGATGCCAAGAGGGCGCTATCAGTGCAATTACCGGAGTGGATCTGCTGTCTTGGGATTGAATGCGGGCCATACTACGAAGAACTCAAAAGACTTATCTTATTCGTACTCTGTGAATTGGGTGGTCGGCTTTAAGCCAGGTCTTCCTTGTACAAATGGTAGGCCAACCAAAGACGAAGAAGGTACCGTTTTATCATGATGGTTTGGTACAGTAGTAGTGCTATTCATGCTGCAATATGATGGTAGAAGAAGGAAGTAGTAAATCTGCCCCAGACTCTATTAATAACTTAGCTGGACTACTGTAGAGTTTAAGCAAGATAGGCCCCAACATCAACCTCGAGACCGAAGCCGATGCAGCAGCTAGCGGTGTCGATCCTCGGCAGCGGCGGGCAGTGTCCAAGTGGGGGAGAGAGAGTTGCGCAATGCCGCATTGGAGGAATGAGACTCACACCACCTCCATCCCTTGTGGTTCCGGACATCTGGGGAAAGTGGCAAGGTGTCGTGGAGATCGAACCACTTGTTTCAGGTTCTTGAAAAGATGATTGCGAAACAGATAAGGTTTCTATTTGACTTGAATGGAAGCGGAAATGTGAGCTGGAAGGAAAAGACAAGGATGAGCAGAGAGGACCGGGTGTGATATCAGCTTGCATTATCATTGGCCGCCGATCATGACATAACCGCTGTGGGAAGTTTCATCATCATGAGTTGCTCTGCTTGAGAGTGTCTCGTCGGATATTAACTATGTGGCAGAGTAACGAACAAGAAGGGATATACCAAATAGACCAGTCATGATTAGAATCGACACGTATGTGGTGATATTGCTTTTACTATACTAACTCGTTTTGTCTTTATGAGGCTTGTTGGCTGTACTCTGGCGTAGTAGTTACACCACTCCTCCCGACTATTCCCACTATGGCCGCTCAACTCGCAGAAGGTTAACAACACGTTCCTTTCTCCTTACTGAGAAGGGTTTCATTCAGCTTCTAGTAGAATTCTCGCCAAGAGAATGTCTTATCTCGCGGTTAGTCTACCGCTGAAGGGGTTCCGATGGTCGATACTTGTGTCACACTGCCAAGCATCTCGAAGGGCAGGGGGAGCTGGGAAGCTCTCTCCTACCTAGTGGATATTCTGCCGTCATCCGCCGGGAGAGACAAAAGTACTAGCCCGTCCTTGAAGAGCTTGCTTTTCGGTGGCCTCATATTTACTCCCGCTCTCCACGACAGTTACCTATATAAAAATCAGCTCCCTTCACGAATCCGCATAGAACTAGAGCAGTAGCTCTACTATTACTCTCCCATAGTTGGACCGGATTGTTCTGCCCATACTAAAAAAGGTATCTAGTGGAAGGCCCCAAGCCTTGGCGGGTCTGGGCGCAGCGCGAAACTGGGCTGGGCGTTCGCCTACAACCGATTCTGATTGGCCATTTGAGACCCTCCCGGGTCCAGAGAGTCCGGGAAAGCCTGACGATGATGTTTTGGGAATTCCTTGTAGAAGATTTTCAACAGAGACAGAGAAGGCAAGACAGTCAGTCAAAGACTCACCGACACGATCGGCTTTGGTATTAAACCCGTCGGCGTCCCGCTTCATTCATTGGAGTCTACTAGTCTAGTTATCTATCTATATCCAGGTGTGTATAGTGTTAGTGGATTTGAAAGGGTCTGTTCTGGCCCTTAGTCCTGTACCTACGCATTAGGTTGAACTGTCTGAATCCAATCGTGCTTCCGTGCAGTGCCAACTCTAAATCCTATTCGCCTACCGCCTGCCTACCTTTCTTATCTATCGGCGTCATCATCTTCGACGGCATTATCGCCATCGTCTCTCTCTGTTTCTGCCCATCAGGACTACCTTGTGGTTGCTTCCCGTTCGCGTCGTCATCCCCCATCATCCAACCTTCCCCTTTCACCTCCCCTTCTTCATCTTTCCTTCCCCAGATTTTTCCTAGAGTTAGTTGCCTGTTCCCTCTCTGCCACCCTGGCTGCCTCGTGCTTCCGCCCTCTTGTCGATGGCCATTTTTACTGCCCCTAGATCTCTTCAAAATGCCTACCCGTCAATCTCCTCTCAGCTCATGACCCAGATGGGCGCCAATCCCGCCCTTCTTCAAGATGGCAACTCCCACTCGAGCCACCCCTCGTTCCTCAACCTCGTCCTATTGGTCTTCGAAGCTGTCCTCGAGGTCATCTGCGTGAGTCTGCCGGGCTACTTTGCTGCCAAACAGGGCATGTTCGATGCGGACGCCCAGAAGCTGGTAGCAAACCTCAACGTCACTTTATTCACTCCCTGCCTGAGTAGGTTGCCTGGTTTCTTTGGCTGTACTCTTCGCATCTCAGCTGACCACAACTGTTAGTCTTCACAAAGCTTGGGTCCCAGCTCACAGCAGAGAAGCTCACTGATTTGGCTATCATTCCGGCCATCTTCGTTATCCAAACTCTGGTCTCTTATTCCTGCGCCTTCATTGTTTCGCGATGCCTCCGGCTTAAGAAGAGACCTTCCAACTTTGTCGCCGCCATGGCCGTAAGTGCAGTGTCCACTGCTTCCACATTCTTCTCCTTTCCTGACTTTTCGCTGACTCATGGCAATCCTAGGTTTTCGGAAACTCGAACTCGCTCCCAATCTCCCTTGTCATGTCCCTGTCGCAAACTCTCAAGGGTCTTCACTGGGATCGTGTCCCGAACGATAATGACGATGAAGTAGCCGCACGTGGTATTTTATATCTGCTTATCTTCCAGCAGCTCGGACAACTTGTGCGGTGGAGCTGGGGCTACCATGTGCTTCTTGCCCCCCGCGAACGTTACTTGGAAGAGGCAGAACCGGACCCGAATACCACCCTCATTGGACAGGGCCAGGAGCGATACACGGACAACCCGGAGCAAGTTGATCCAGATGAGCCGTTGGTGAGGACTCGAAGCTTCGATGAACAGACGCAAGCATCCGGAGCTTCGCAGGAGGACTCGGATGCGTTCGCATCTGGTCAAGAAACACCCGTGACCGCACGAGACTATCCCTACTCCAAGGTGTCGTCCCGTAGCGGTGGCGAGGAAGATCCCGACCGCGCGCCCCTGCTTGATGCTCCCCCTGCGCCGTTCATGCCCCGACAAAGCTCCGCCGGGGATATGCTTTCATTCCCCGCTGTACAGGAGAGCTATGAGAAGAAGGGTCTGATTGCCCGCTTCAAGGCGTCCCTTCGTCGACTCCGTAGCCGCATCGCCAGCGGATGCGCAAAAGGGACTGGTGCCATATTTCGACGATTGCCAACGAGGATGCAGAAGGTGCTATCCGTGTGCACAAGCTGGATCGGAAGGTTCTTCCATGGGTTGTGGGAGTTCATGAACCCGCCCCTGTGGGCCATGCTTGTCTCGATCGTAGTCGCCTCGGTACCGTCGCTTCAGAGCTTGTTCTTTGACGAGGGCACCTTTGTGAGCAATTCTGTGACTCGAGCGATCAACCAGAACGGTCAGGTTGCCGTGCCGTTGATCCTCGTCGTTCTGGGAGCCAACCTTGAACGCAACACGCTTCCCAAGGAGGCGCTGGAAGATGTGGAGCACCCCAAGGAAGAGAAGAAATTGATTGTCGCTTCTCTGGTGGCCCGCATGCTTCTTCCTACAATCATAATGGCCCCTATCCTTGCGTTACTGGCCAAGTATGTGCCGATCAGCATCCTGGACGATCCGATCTTTATCATCGTCTGCTTCCTCCTGACTGGAGCTCCGTCGGCCCTTCAGCTGGCGCAGATTTGCCAGATCAACAATGTCTACGTTAGCGCCATGTCGAAGCTCTTGTTCCAGAGCTATGTGGTGTGGTAAGTAACATCGAGCTCGCATTCAGGAAACAATTACTAATAATGAACGATAGGATCCTCCCATCAACCCTTATCCTCGTAATGTGCGCCTTGGAGGTTGTTGAATGGGCATCTGCCTCCTGAGATATGAAGCTTATTTTGTTCGACTGCATCGATCTATATTTTTAGGGTGATCCGGCGTTTGAGTGTTCTTTTTCTACTTTTTCATTTCCTTGTTCACTGTATTATTGACAGCAGTACGGATTGGCATGGATGGGAAAGATACCAGGTTGGAGCGCCTAAGTGGCTGTACCCGATATGTTAGCCTAACAATGATGATTTCGAGATACCTAGCACTTACCACGTTTTTATCCTACATAGTAAAATCTCAGGGAAAGCCACCAGATTCTGAAGAGCAAAGGAGCGATAGGGTCAAACACCAACAACCACCACCCCCTGACTGGTTAAGAACCAACCCGCAAAGCAAAAGCGCCACAACAACCACCTTATCTACCCCTCTCCCCCCCTCACAGAATCCTAAAGCAAGGGGGGCATAATCAAGACAAAATCAGTAAGAAACGCGGGGCATTTCATCCGAACACCTATTATTCCCCAACTACAAAAACAAAGTACAATAAGAGAAGATCACCTGCCCAGGAATAAAGTTCACGGGTAGCATGCAGCGTGACTCTTTTGGGGGGGAAGTTGTGCTTACCGGCTTCCTGTTATTGGGAGCCCGAGGATTCAACATGAAGTACTTATGCTTATTGGTTGATGTATTACGTAGTTGCTGCATTCTGGATATATCGATATGCTGTGTAGCGTCGGTGGTACTTTGCACTTCACTTCTGGTTATAGGTTCGTTGGTTGGTTGGTGGGCTTACGTGGTAGTTAGTATAGTAC